AGTCCTGACGCAGAAGTCTTTGTTTGGTGACAAGTAATGGCCAATATGGGCTTTATCTTCCTTATTATTTGGTGACATCTTTAGGATTGCTGCCAGGGGCCTTCTCTGGGGGTTTGTCCAGGACAGAGAGGAGATGTGGAGGTTTTTTGCTGATGCTGATAGGGCAGACCACAGAGGAGATAAGGAGTCAGTGACTGGAGGCAGTCATCCAGGATGATGGTCAGGGAAATCTTGTAGGTGATTGACTTATAGTCATGCTACTTAGGTGGCTCTGACTTCTAGCAACTAAGTGCTTTATATTTATAAAAGTTTCACAGAAAAAAAATACTGATTAATGATTATCCAAGTGGTACAGAATATATGTTTGAGTTTTCATTGCATGTCTAGGGTTACAAGTTCAGTTATAATTAGAAAATACAAACAGAATAGCCTTTATTATTATTAGCTCTATAACTCCAATTTAAATAATCTAAAGAATGTCTCCTCCACAGCAAACATATTTAATAGATGACAGCCTGATTTTAAGCGGCAATGTTTTTGTCTGAGGGCACTCCAGAAAACAGAAAATGTCTGAATTAGTCTTTTATTTAAAGAAAGTACTAATACCTAACATTGTTTTACTTTATATCTCATAATCTATGCTCTAAAGTAGGACAAGCTTATTTAAGTCAAGCTGTCTTATTAATGAGTTTCATTTCTTCAGGAGTGTACCCCATATGAATCCCTGTCTGTAAAGTACATTTTTAGAGACCTCTAAAACTATATTAAAAAGAGGTCTTGATCCTGTAACCTATTTCCCTAGCCAGTCAGGGTTTGTCAATTGTCTGTTTACCCTGTGCCAACTCTTCTGTTTTAGTTGACTCACCGGCTCATATCCTAAGAAATTTCCTGGATTAATGTCCTCACAAAACTATGTGCTTATCTGTGCTTAATGGTTTCCAGGACATAAGGAAGACTTCCAAATAAGTCACATAAGGTTAATTTTAGAATTTTCCTAAAGACTTAGGGATCATTTTTCTCAGGAAATGACTAAAAATGGACCATGACCATAATGATGGAAGTTTGAAAGAATGCAACATGCATAAACCAAACCCAAAATTTAGAGAGAAAAACAATGACTGTAGAAATCTGCTCAGCTTTGTTGAAACTGAGTTAAGCAGCTCTGCTGGAGTCATGACTCCTACTACTTCCAGTGAATATATGGTTGTTTTCATTGCTGTAGTTTTCTCTACCATATCATCCCTCAAAATGCTTCCAGTTCTAGCAGTATTTCTTATCACCATTCCCTTTCCCCATCAGACCCTCCTGTTTCTGTCTTCACTATGATGCCTTTATTTCAACAATCTATGAATATAATCCAGAGCAGAAAAGTCTGACAGGTATGAACATGGAATAGTGATCAAGGCTGGGTGCCTAAACTAGTGAAAGAACTTGCCTCATTGGGGATTAAGCACATCATCCAAAGTGATGGTCCCAAAGTTGATGCTTTACCCACTTGGCCCCATCACAGTGAGTGATTCCACTTGGTTTTCTTAATCCTCCAACTCGTGCTTATTTCATCTTCTAGTGGCTGTAAATAAGAACTGTGGATCCAGACTTTATTATCACAAGAAATTATTTTCCCAAAAGCTCTTGAAATGGTTACATAATGCACACTAAGTCATTGTTTAAAATATTAAACTCGAAGCTTTTAACTTAAAAACATTTCTTAGAGGTAATATAAAAAGAATTAACAAAAAATTTAACAGATCCTACCTAATAAACTTACAGACAAACCCATGTCAGTTAACACAATGGTTTAAAACATTACAGTGTAGGAAAGTTAATCTTTCAGTTAAATATGAGTTAATTTACTCTATATAGTTTATATTATGTTGGTATAATGTTCTTTTGGAATGTATACAATTTGCCTTTGTTTATTCAAATGCTGATTTGTCTCCTCCAATATTTGGGTTCAATGTAGACATTGCATTGTGATGCTTATTCTAATCATACTTGTCTCAAGTTTGTCTAAACATGCCACCATTTTTTCTGTATATTGTTAATTAAAACAACCAGCCAAAATGCTGAGCAATGGAGAGGACAGGGTGGGACATCTTCATCTGGAGTGAAAGGAAAGGAAGGAAGCAAGAGAGGAGAGAATAGGCAGGAGAGGTCTGGGAACCATGTGGAGAGATGGACAGGACCTTAGATATGACTAAAAGCAACTATATGGGTAAATTCTGAATGATGGGAAACTGAGGGTTTGGAGGTTTAGGATTGAGTGATCATTATCCTTCAGTGTGCTATAGGTTATTTAAATAAATCCCAATCTCTGTGTGGTGACTTGGGTATATAGCTGGTTTACTGCTTAACTACAAGATATATCAACAGTAAATATTAATATCCTATAACATTATTTTGAAGTTCTTTAGCATATTGTTTTTATTAAGTATAGAAAGTCTTTGGCATAGAATATAAAGAAAGTTCTTCATATAAACCAGTGGTTCTCAACCATCCTAATACTGCAACCCTTTAAATATAGTTCCTCAGATTGTGGTGACTTCCAACCAAAACATTATTTTCATTAATACTACATGATTGTAATTTTCCTATTGTTATGAATCATAATGTAAATGTCTGATAATTTACATGGTTTTAGGCAACCACTCTGAAAGTGTCTTTTGACATCAAAGGGGTTGGGATCCATAGGTTGAAAACCTCTTAAATAAAGGCATTATTGTTAATCAGAATCATTTAGTAAAGCAATATATTTTTGCTAATTTTCCTTCAAAATTCTTTCTTTGTCTATTATTTCTTGACACATGTGTTGGGTAGACATAGCCATTCATCCAGAAAATAAACGATTCTAAGTACTAGAACAGAAAAGCTGAGTTCAGCTTTGTACTTTTCCAGGATAATTTGCTTCTCAGATTGATATTCCCTAGTCCTGAATCCACAATGGTGTCCATGGAAGAGTGTGATGTATTCCAGGATCTGAAAGCCATCAGCTTTAGACTTCCTGTTTACAAAAGTGGAGACATATTACTCAACCAGCATGGTTAAAGTCCATTTCTAATCAATGGCAATAGAATCTAATGCACCAGGACATACTGTGGAAACTTGATAAGTAACTAAGAACTATTGGACTCTTTATATTATGTATAACATAACTTGTAACTTTTATCTCTTTAGACCCCATGCTCTCCCCTTGCATACTGTGAGAAGCCCATGGAGTCTTTGGATTTATTATATCCCTGTCTCCATTTGTCCAATCTAAAGTAGCAGGTGTAAATGTCATAAGAGCAGAGTCTGAGCTCACTGCTGCCGTTACAAGGAGATTGTAAAGTTTAGTGAAGATCAAAGGCATATGACAACTTGTTAGACACTGACAGGAGCAGAGATCCTTGTCTGTCAAATTCTTGACGTTGGGATTAGGAACTTTGTGTATCCTCATAAGGTCTACCCCTCTCATATGATTTTGTGTTAACAATTAACAGAGGAAATCTGCATGTGCCTATCAGAAATTATTTAATGTTTTATACCTGAGAAGTAGATGTATAAAAATATATATGTTATTCAAAATAGAAGGAAATAAATATTGGATAAATAAATATTTATTTTTCAATAATATTTGAGGGTTAATGGTAAAACATTAACATTAGATAAATAATTTGCTTTAGGTAGAGAACGCTGTGAGCTGCCTTTTCACCAGGTAATTAATGATACATATTTTTGAGACATTGTCTCCATGTATATATTAGATTGGCCTAGAAGTTGGTATGTACCCCAGGCTGGCCTCAAACTCATGAGTCTCCTGCTTTTGTCTCTCCAGTTCTGGGAGTACAGACGTGAATCTCCACTCCTTGCCATGAAAATTTATTTATTTATTTTTCTCTTATACTTTACACATGATTCATAATTTACTTCTTATATATACTTTCATATTTCAATAATATGAAGTCCTGGCAAGTTCTGTGATTTCTCTTATCGCTATTGATTTTTCATTCATAACCAAACTTGTCTTTTCACCCTTTGCATAGCAACTATCACTGGCTGATGCAGTGTTCTATTGGCCCCTATAAAGTCATTATGTAGATTAGGGTGGCTGTGTCCCCTTCAGGAGAGATATACCTGTTCAGGATGTGAGAAACCCATCTTAATCCAGTTTCAATATTGCTGATTTATAAATTACACAGGCATTTATGTTTCTTGAATAAAAACTCATAGCAGTGTTTGTCTACAGCAATGACCTCATGAAAGATCTGGTTTTTTTCCTCTGTAGTGTCTCCAGATTTAGAGCCCTCTTTCAATTTCCTGAAGTGATGGGGAGCATACTTGTTAGTTTCTGCTGTGTTTCCTTCACTTTGATATTAAAATTGCTCTGATCGGAGGAAGTCCACCAGGATTTCCACAGAGTGAATTCTGGGCTGCTCTTTGCATCTTAGTCCCTTATTTATCTAAAAACTAGAACTCACATGTCTGAGACTCTGCCCTCTGTCTTCAGTGTAGGAGTGGCTTTGGAGATGATTAATATTAAACACATTTAGCCTCAAATTTTTTGTTTTTTCCTTTCACCTTTTCTTACCTTTACCATTTCTTTCTTTTGTGGCGAGTTTTCTTATTCTGTTTCTTTTGTTGTTGTTGATGTGATTTCTTTTTTGAACATATCCTATCATTTCCCTAAGACTGTCAGTCTGAGATAGCTCTACTGATGTTTCTACAAAACTCAATTGATTTAAATATGTCTTGGATATTAACCCAGGTTTGCTAATAGAGCCCCTAGTAATTTTCTGTTTGAGAGCTGTAAGCCCATCTCTTTCAGTGATTGTTCATGTTCCCTCTAATAGTATTTTTAACTGTTGACTGACACCAGCTACACTCACAGACAATGCACATGCATTTCCTTAAGTATTTGCTGACTGCTTTGCATAGGCCTACAGCCCAGCCCAGCTGCTGAGAATTTATAAATCAGGCCTTTGCAGTGAGAACTAAACTGCATCACAGAGCAGGGAAGCAAGATGAATTCACAGACCCAGGTCCTCCTATTCCTGCTGCTTTGGGTGTCTGGTGAGAAACTCAAAATATTATTTATAATCTTTGCAGAGTCACTTATTTGTGATAAGAAATTTAGAGAGGGTGCCAGAGTATTATTACACTCTGACAAAATGTTAGTACATGTTAAATACAAATTTCACATGTTTTTACAATCAGTATTTGTGTGTGTATATATATATATATATATATATATATATATATATATATATATATATATATATATATATATGCATGTTCATTGTGTATTCCTGATTGCAGGTGCCTGTGCAGACATTGTGGTGACCCAGTCTCCATCCTCCCTGGCTGTGTCAGAGGGAGAGAAAGTCACCATCAGCTGCAGGTCCAGTCAGAGTCTTTTATACAGCAAAGACCAAAAGAACTACTTGGGCTGGTACCAACAGAAACCAGGGCAATCCCCTAAGCCACTGATCTACTTTGCATCCACTCGGCACACTAGGGTCCCTGATCGCTTCAAAGGCAGTGGATCTGGCACAGATTTCACTCTCACCATCAGCAGTGTGCAGGCTGAAGACCTGGCAGTTTATTACTGTCTACAGACTTACAGTGATTCTCCCACAGTGGTTCAGCCTCCAACACAAACCTTGAGAGTCTCAGCAGCTGCCTGCACCACACAGCCCCGGGCCTGCACACTTCCCTCTTCTGTGTGATAGCAGGTGTGTTTAAAAATTAATGAAAATGTTTGCAGAGCCCAGTTCAAAATTGTGGGTTCAATGTCTCTTATGTCTTTTGGTATGAAAAACTTTTATATTAAAATGTAATAAAAAGAACTCAGTATTATATTTCTATTTCTTATGTAATAAATTATTACATCTCTGCTGCTTACAGATAAGAGTGTTATCTTTTTACAGTGTTGGAATTCTGATATCCAATATAATATCTTGACCTGATGTGATGATGATGAAAACTTTATTTCAATTTGGAGGATCTAGGAAACAATATGTTTCTTGTTTTTTACTAGATTACAGAGTGCTTTTCTCCCTTCCTTCCTACTTTTCTTCCTTCCTTTGTTTCTTCTTTCTTTCCTTCCTTTTGTGCCTTCCTGGTACTCATTCCTTGTGTTTATTATTTTACTTTCAATAAAATATTTTTCTTTTTATTACATTTTAGTTAATTACCTTCACCGGCATGCATGTGAATGTGCATTAGTGTACCTTGTTTGCATATTCATTAATGCACATATAACATGGCATGTTTGTGGAGGTCAGAGGACAATTTAGACATGACAGTTTTTTTTTTCCATTTTGTTTCTGAGGATAAAACTCAGGTTTGACATCAGGCATGGTAGAAAGTGTCTTCGCCATATTAGTTATCCTGCTGTCCTTTAAAGTCTTTTATGAATGTTAATTCATTGAACACTATTTTAATGAAAGGCATGTCTTTCCAATGTATTTTGACCATATCCACTAACCTTCATTTTACCTTTCCTTTCCTGCTATTTCTTCTTTCCGGTCAGGAGACATTCAGGGAAAGGGAGACATCTGGGCTTCCTGAAAGCATCTTAGTTTTGTTTTTTTTTTTTTTTAATTTAATTTTTTTAGGGTGTAAACTAGAGGTAAATCTGAGGCAAACATTGTGGTTCTAGAATATCTTCCTCTAATTAACACAACTTTTTCTGTTCTGCTATTACTGCATCTCTCAAAACTCTGGCATGGTGTGAAAGAGGCCTTAACTGCCATCATTCCTTAGCAGGTAAATACCTGCCCTGGTTGAGGAGATCTCCTATATGATCTTTATGAAGATATACTGCTAATGATTTCATAGTTCCTGAGAATGATTTTATACATTTCCTGTTCTGATTTAAACAAATGTTAGACTTTAAGAAGTGAGAGAGTTGATAGAAAGTTACAGGCATATTAAAGAGCTCTGTGAGCCTCCAGATGCCAAGTACATAAATCTTAACACAGAGAGTTTATGCTTGAAACAGATTTATTTTCCAAAAAATGAACATTCTATTGGGTCAGTGGGTCTCAGTTTGCACTTGGGCATCTGGAAATTATTGCTTTAAACCTTAGATGAACTTTTGGAATCAGAGATTAATAAAGAATCTCTTAATGCAAAGACATGTGAACAATTACCTGGCCATACATTAATCTGTGGACTTTGTTAACACATTATATGAATTTCTAATATTCTGTACCTACCATGAAACTATCAGAAAGCAATGTGTTTAGAATACCATGTAATCCCTTATCCTGCTAATTGCTGTGAAGCAATTATTCTTCTGTGGTAAAGACTCTATGTTAAAGGGTATAAATACAACTAAGTTTATAGAATAAACGTTGAAGCTCGATGGAATTTTCTTCATCAATACTTTGTATATATGTAAATAGGTATATACATATGTGTGTTGGGATCAGTAAGCAGGCATGTCTAAGGCTCCCCAGGGGAGCTGACAAGCTGCACATCAGCATCTGTGAGGCCACCTCCAGAATCAGAGTTGACTTGACTACTTGCACCTCCTGCAACCACATGTTAGTTCTGAGCGTGCGCTGGGTCACCCTCTAAGAGGACTTGCCACTGCTATTGTCTCTCCTTCCCACCTTGCCCAGACACAGTCTCTGTAATCAACCCCAGGCCCCAGCCCTGCTTCCCCTACTAAAACCTCCTGTGTGGAACCTGTCTTATGGTGTGATTTATGAACGCGTTGTAGAACTCTGCTGCACCGTCCTAACAATGTGTTTGCATATCAATGTGTCCATTTTTTTGTATACATGTTTCATAAATGCTTGTCAATTTGTCTGTATGTAAGGAGCTCCTTTTATGCTTCATCCATTGAATATATGTATAAATATGTACAAGGCTATATGAGTGATCAATTCTTTATGTGTGTTTATGGGCTGATAAATGGATATGGTAAGGAGCAAGATTCTGCAGGAGGCAGTCTGGGTTTGCTGCAGTCTCTACAAAGGAAATGCTAGTTAACATCAGCACCATCATCATAAGTTTAATGAATCTCAAGCATCTGACAGCTGGTAGCAATTTGGGTGAAGCTTTCCAAACCCAGGCAATTAAGCTTTGATTGAGCCAGCCTCCAAAGGAGGACTCCATAATACAGAATCCACTGCATTCAGCCTGTTCTCAAAGACGGGATATGCTCTTCTGGAGCCAGTACATAGTGATAAACTGTCCAGAATCCCTTCTTGGCTCCTGCAATCAAGTTTCTTGCTTCCAGCAAGTTTCTGTGCAAGTTAGCTTCATTGAAAGATGGGGGCTGAGATTCCTTTTTACAGTTCTAGTTGTTTATCCCTGCTGGAGCAGTTAGCACCAACAAGACTTTCCTTGGTCAAGGCCTCCTTTCCAAGCAGTCAAAAGCTTCATGGCATAGGCTCTAGTATTTGGAAGAAAATAAAATGAGTAGACAAGCCACGGGCCCTTTGTCAGTCGAATTAGGACAGCCTGCTGTTAAAAAAAATAAGAGCCCTTAGCTAAAGAGTGGGTCATGCAAGCTTAAAACCAAAAAAAAAAAAAAAATAGCCATAATTTCAGTTGGCAAGGCACCAGACCTCAAGTCTGTAGGTTCAGGGATCAAATCCAAGGCTCGTCTCATTTTCAGTTCTTGTGACCAGTAGCCCCAAGTAGCAAGCTTCCTCTCTCTCCCCCTCCAAACCCCACACTCCCTCTCTCTTTCCCACTTGTGCCCCTCCCCAAGTCTACTGATAAAGGAGGTCCTCCCTCTGATCCTAGTCTATCAGGTCTCATCACTAGTGGCTGCATTGACTTCTTCCTCTGTGTCCTGGTAAGGCTGCTCCCTCTCAGGGGAGGTGATCAAAGAACATGCCAATTAGTTTTTGTCAGAGACAGTCCCTGTCCCCATTATTATGTACCAACTTGGATACTGAACTGCTGTGTGCTACCTCTGTGCAGGGGTTCCAGGCCATCTCCATGAGTGGTCCTTGACTGCACTATCAGTCTCAGAAAAGATCCCTGTGCCCAGACTTTTCAGATCTGTTGCTCTTCTTGTGGAGCTTCTGTCCTTTCCAGATCTTAATATCTCCCACTTCTTTCATAATATTCGCTGCACTCTGCCCAAAGTTTGGCTATGAGTCTCAGCATCTGCCTCGATACCCTGTAGTGCAGAGCCTTTCAGAGGCCCTCTGTGGTAGCCTCCTTTCCTGTTCCCTGTTTTCTCCCTCCTCTGATGTCCTCTGATGTTAGCGGTTTACAGAGGAAATCTGCATGTGCTCATCAGAAATTATTTAACATTTTATACCTGAGAAGTAGATGTATAAAATTGTATATGTAATTCAAAATAGAGGGATATTCATACTAGATAAGTGAATATTTATTTTTCAATAATATTTGTGACTCAATAGTGAAACATTAACATCAGATAAATTTGCTTTGGATAGATGATGCCGTGAGCTGCCTTGAAAACAGGTTATTAATGATACACATTTTGGACAGATTGTCTCCATGTATAGATTAGATTGGTCTAGAAGTTGCTCTGTAACCCAGGCTGGCCTCAAAATCATGGGTCTCTTGCTTTTGTCTCCAGTTCTGGGAGTACAGATACGAATCTCCACTCCTCTCCATGATATTTCATGTATTTATTTTTCTATTTTACTTTACACATGATTCTGGCTTTATAATTTACTTCTCATATATAATTTCAGATTTCAATAATATGAAGTCTTGGCAGGTTTTGTGGTTTTGCTTATTCCTATTGATTTTTCATTCATAACCAAACATTTTTTTCACCTTTTGGATAGTAATGTTCTATTGTTCTCTATAAAATCATTACATAGATTAGGATGGTTCTGCCCCCTTCTGGAGAGATTTACCGTTTCATGATGTCAGAAGCCCATCTTAACTGTTTCAATACTGCTAATTTCTAAATTCACTTGCATTTGTTTTTTTTTTCTTTATTAATTACACTTTACTCACTTTCTATCCCCCACCATGATTCCCTCCCTCCTCTCATCCCAATCCCTCCCTTCCTCCACCCTCTGCATGCATTCCCCTCCCCAAGTCCACTGATAGTGGAGGACTTCTTTTCCTTCCTTCCGATCCTAGTCAATTAGTTCTCATCAGGAGTGGCTGCCTTGTCCTCTTCTGTGGCCTGGTAATGCTGCTTCCCCTCAGGGGGAGGTAATTAAAGAGCAGGCCAATCAGTTCAAGTCAGAGACACTCGCTGTTCCTATCACAGTGAAACCCACTTGGATAATGAACTGCCATGGCCTACATCTGTGCAGGGGTCTTAGGTTATCTCCATGCATAATCCTTGGTTCGAATAGCAGTCTCAGGAAAGACCCCTGTGCTCAGATTTTTTGGTTCTGTTGCCTCCTTATGGAGTTCCTGTCCTCTCCAGATCTTATTGCTTCCAGCTTCTTTCCTAAGATTCCCTGCATTCTGCCCAAAGGTTGCCCATAAGTCTCAGTATCTACATTGATAGTCTGCAGGGCATTGCTTTTCAAAGGTCCTCTGTGTCAGGCTCCTGACTTGTTCACTCTTTTCTCCTTCTTCTGATGTCCAGACTCTTTGCCTTTCTGGATAGGAATTGAGCATTTTAGCAAGAGTCATCCCTCTTGATTAGTTTCTTTAGGTGTTCAGATTTTAGTAGGTTTATCCTATATTATATGTCTATATGAGTGAGTATATACCATGTGCATCCATCTGCTGCTGGGATAGCTCACTCAGGATGATCTTTTCCAGATCCAACCATTTGCCTGCAAATTTCATGATTTCCTTGTTTTTTATTGCTGAGTAATATTCCATTGTGTAGATATACCACAATTTGGGCTTCCATTCCTCCACTGAGGGGCATCTGGGCTCTTTCCAGCTTCTATCTATTACAAATAAGGCTGCTACAAGCATGGTTGAGCAAATGTCCTTATTGTGTACTTGAGAATCTTTTGGATATATGCCTAGGAGTGGTATAGCTGGATCTTGAGGAAGCACTATAAAGATGCCAAATCCATTCAATGGAAAAAAGACAGCATTTTCAACAAATGGTGCTGGTCTAATTGGAAGTCAACATGTAGAAAATGCAAATAGATCCATCTTTATCACCCTGCACAAAACTAAAGTCCAAGTAGATCAAAGACCTTAACATAAAACTAGACACACTAAACCACTTAGAAGAAAAAGTGGGGAATACCCTTGAACTCATTGGCACAGGAGACAACTTCCTGAACAGAACACCAACAGCACAGGCTCTAAGAGCAACAATTAATAAATGGGACCTCATGAAATTGAAAAGCTTCTCTAAAGCAAAGGATACTGTCCTCAGAACAAAACGACAGTCTACAGATTGGGAAAAGATCTTCACCAACCCTATATCTGACAGAGGACTCATATCCAATATATATAAAGAACTAAAGAAGTTAAACAGCAAAAAATCAAGTAATCCAATTAAAAAATGGGTTACAGAGCTAAACAGAGAATTCTAAACAGATATTCTTCTCTGCAGAAGAATATCGAATGGCAGAGAAACACTTAAAGAAATGCTCAACCTCATTAGCCATCAGGGAAATGCAAATCAAAACAACCCTGAGATTTCACCTTACACCCATCAGAATGGCTAAGATCAAATCCCAAGAGACAACACATGCTGGAGAGGTTGTGGAGAAAGGAGAACCCTTCTCCACTGCTGGTGGGAATGCAAACTTGTACAACCACTCTGGAAAGCAATCTGGGGCTTTCTCAGACAACTAGGAATAGCACTTCCTCAAGATCCAGCTACACTAGCATTTGTATTCCTTGAATAAAACTCATGGCAGTGTTAGTCTAGAGGAAAGACTTCTTAAAAAATCTGTTTTTTCCTTTTTTTTTTTTCCTGCAGATTTAGATCCCTCTTGCAATTTCCTGAAGTTGTGGGGAGGATACTTGATAGTTTTTGCTGAGTATCCATTGTTTTGAGATTAAGGTTCCTATGATCTCAGTCTTAAATTAATGTCTGCCAGGATATCCACAGAGTGAATGCTGGGCAGCACTTTGCATCTTAGTCCCTAGTTTATCTATGAAACTAGAGCCCAAATATTTGAGGCCCTGTTCTCTGACTTCACTATCACAGTGGCTTTGGAGATGAGTAATATTGAACATATTTAGCCTCAATTCTCTTTTACCCTTTCATCTTTTCTTCCATCTTCCCTCTCTTTTATTGCATACTTTCTTATTCTGTTTCTTTTTGTTGTTGTTTTGATGTTTTGAACATACCCTATTATTTCCCTAGAACTGTCAATCTGAGAGAGCTCTACTAATGTTTCTACAGAAATCAATTAATTTAAACAGGTCTTGGATTTTAACCCAGGTCTGCTCTTAGAGCACTTAGTACTTTTCTGTTTGAGAGTTCTAAAGCAATATTTTTCAGTGATTGCTCCCTGTAGTAATATTGTTGACTGTTGATTTACACCAGCTACACTCACAAACAATGCACAGGCATTTGCTTTTGTATTTGCTGACTGCTTTGCATGGGCCCCCTACAGCCCAGCCCACCTGCTGAGAATTTATAAACCAGCCTTTGCAGTGAGAACTGAACTGCATTAGACAGCAAAGGTAGCAAGATGAAGTCACAGACCCAGGTCCTCATATCCCTGCTGCTTTGGGTGTCTGGTGAGAAATTCAAACATTATAATCTTTACAGAGTCACTTCTTTGTAGATAAGAAACTTAGAGTCTGCCAGGCTTAGTATTTCATATTTCAATAATAATACTCTGACATGCTAGTACAAATATATTAAATGACAAATTTCAACTGTTTTATAATCTGTTTGTATTTATATGCATTTTCATTGTGTATTCCTGATTGCAGGTACCTGTGCAGACATCTTAATGACTCAGTCTCCATCCTCCCTTGCTGTGTCATCAGGAGAGAAAGTCTCCATCAGCTGCAGGTCCAGTCAGAGCCTTTTATACAGCAGCAACCAAAAGAACTACTTGGCTTCGTACCAGCAGAAACCAGGGCAGTCCCCTAAGCTGCTGATCTACTTTGCATCCACTCGGGATACTGGGATCCCTGATCGCTTCACAGGCAGTGGATCTGGGACAGACTTTACTCTCAGCATTAACAGTGTGCAGGCTGAAGATCTGGCAGTTTATTACTGTCAACAGTATTATAGTACTCCTCCCACAATGGTTCAGCCTCCAACACAAACCTCATTGAAAGTCTCACCAGCTGTCTTCACCACACACAGCCCTGGCCCTCAACACTTCCCTCTTTTGCCTGGTAGCAAGTATGCCTGAAAAAGTGATGGATAGTTTGCCGAGCCCAGTACACATTATGGTTTCAGTGTCTCTTATGTCTTTTGTTATGAAAATCCTTTATATGAAAATGCAAAAAAGAACTCTATTATCATTCATTTCCTTCTGTAGAACTTGGGGGACATAAAGGAGGCCATTACATCACTGTAAGAAATCTGGAAGCTGATATAGATGTTTTTAAACAGCAAACTGCTGTTGGAACACAAGAAGAATGACAAAGATAATCAGGAGAGCAGATAACCAAGAATTGACAAAGAACAAGAAGCAAAAAAAGAGTGATACAACACTTTTTAAAAATTGTGGAAAAGCCCCAGAAGAAGAATGAGGCTGTTCAAGCAGAGCCCCAGGAGTACAGAGGAAACATCTGCCAAAATACTGAGGAGAGATGTTTTGTACTCAAATAGAGGAAATGCAAACTTCTGCCCTACAACCCTAGAAGGCAACCATACCAGACACATATCTTTACTGGATTCCATACGTCAGAGAAAATTTCAGATTGAGAAGTGTGCTATGGGAATTGATTTTAAAGAAAAAAAAAAAAAAGCTAATGGTGAAATCTGAAGCATCAATATACCAATTAGAAAACTCCACGGAAGCATCAAGGATGACACATTGAACCCCTCAAAAAATTGCACCTCATCAGAAGGAAAGAAAGGAATTCCTTTTCCAAAGCTCATTAAAAATTAATGATATTCCAACCAAGGACTATGCATGGAGATAACCTAAGACCCCTGCACAGATGTAGGCCATGGCAGTTCAGTATCTAGGTGGGTTCCATTGTAATAGGAACAAGGAGTGACTCTGACATGAACTGATTGGCCTGCTCTTTAATTACCTCCCCCTGGGGGGAAGCAGCATTAGCAGGCCACAGAAGAAGACAATGCAGCCACTCCTGATGAGACCTAATTGACTAGGATCAAAAGGAAAGAAAAGAAGTCCTCCACTATCAGTGGACTTGGGGAGGGGCATGCATGCAGAGGGTGGAAGAAGGGAGGGGTTGGGATGGGAGGAGGGAGAGAACCACAGGGAGATACAAAGTGAATAAAGTGTAATTAATAAAGAAAAAAAAAAGAATACTGATACAAAAAAAAATTTCTCTTCTAGGAGGACCAGGAGTAAGAAGATTAATCCTCAGTTAGTAAGACAAAGAGGAAGAATATTGGAAGAAGGAGAAAACAAGAAACATGACAGGAGCCTACCACTGAGGGCTTCTGAAAGACTCTACCTAGCAGTGTATCAAAGCAGATGCTGAGGCTCATAACCAAATTTTGGGCAGAGTGCAGGGAATCATATGAAAGAAGAGGTAGTTAGTAAGACCTGGAAAGCACAGGAACTCCACAAGGGGAGGACCAAACGAAAAATATCTGGGCTCAGGGGTATTTTCTGAGACTGATACTCCAACCAAGGTTCATTCATGGATATAACCTAGAACCCTGGCTCAGATGTAGCCCATGGCAGCTCAGTGTCCAAGTGGATTCAGTAGTAAGGGAAGAGGGACTGTCTCTGACATGAACTCAGTGGCTGGCTCTTTGACCACCCCCATCCTTGAAGGAAGAACAGCTTTGCCAGGACAGAGGAGGAAATTGCAGTCAGTCCTGATGAGACATGATAAGCTAGGGTAGGATGGAAGGGGAGGAGGACCTTCCTTATCAGTGGACTTGGAGTGGGGCATGGAAGGAGATGAGAGAGGGAGGGTGGTACTGGGAGAGAATGAGGGACTGGGCTACAGCTGGGATGCAAAGCCAATACAACGTAATTAATGTAAAAAATAAATATAAAAAGTTAAAAAAATAAATAAAAACTGTTCTTTTCTAAAATGGACAAACTGAATTGCAAACTCATTACTTATGAAATATCTATAAAACTTTTCCTTTGAGCCTGTTATGTTTTTACGAGAGAAGCAGCTGAAGTCCTGTATGTTTTTTTGCAGAATCATTCTATGTCCTTGTCTCAACTGTAAGTCAGTTGGGCACTGATCATGGACTTCCACATGGTTCCTGGTGACAGAATTGACAATGAACATCCACATGAAATCTTGGGTCACTCCATGCCATGGGCCTGAGCGTGGTCTCCTGTACAAAGCACAGACACCAACACTGCCCTCTAACATGGCCATGGGCACAGACACCATCAGAGCCTTGGCAGCAGCACAGTCCAAGAACATCAGTATGGCCTCAGGTGGCAGTGCACAACACTCAAGATAATCTATGGACATCCTCATGGATTCGGGTGGAGGATCATCTTTATGACCTTCTGATGCAAAATTCCCAATTAAACAAAAAAAGATATTATGGAAAAAAAACCTCCCAAAATCAAGTTAATTAGCTGCAGGGTAAACAAGAATCCCTTCCAGTTTGATCAAGTTTGAGAAGAAATCCTACAGAAGCAGATCACTAAACTCTTGAAGAATTGAAAGAAGGAAAAACAAAACAGCCCCTTTTCAAAAAACATATGCAATAAATGAAACATTTCATGAGCATAAAAAGGAAAATTATTTAGGTGGAAATGAAGTATATATAAGCAAAGAGAAAGAAGGAATTCCAGGTTATTGTAAGGCAAACATTCCAAGTAGTAGAAAATGAGCAAAAAAAAAAGGAAAAGTTGAGAAGTAGAAAGAGACCTGTGCAGTTAAAGAATTGCGAGTAGGACAAAATCTTCACATCATTAGAATTCGCACTAAATGTTCTGCTGTAGATGCACTGACTGGCAGCATTGCCAGTTGCTCTTGCAGATGACATGAAAACATTTAGTCCAAACTAGGATCTGAATGACTTCATTAGGAGACAGATAAAAACATGCTACTGTCAGAACACCTTTTAAAACATAAGGTTCCACCACACATCCCTGTGCAAACACCACCAGGGTAACATGCAAAAATAAGATGCCCTGAACCAACAAGGAAGATAACAAACATTGTTTTGTATTTTGCTGAAAACCATTAACTATTCACATTGAAGATGACTTATGAGCAGGCTCCATAATGTGAGAAGACCATGATTAGCAGGGTTTGCTGCAAAAGGGCTGGCTCCCAGGCTACAGTGAAAAAAGAAAGGTGCTCATCCTCAGACATATTTTATGGATTAAATGTGTCCTTTCCATTTCCTGTTTGACAGAAAAATCACCTACTTTTCATGAAACTGGTGGAGAAATGTAAGTCTCATGATGGGAACACTCTCATTAAATGTCAGCTGATTCAGAGTAATATAGATGACACTGGTAATTTCTGTACAGTGAAGCTCCAAATTCTCCTGGGAGTATCGGACCTGATATAAATGACAGGAGTGGCATAATTTAAGATATCTGGTGCTGTAGGCCAGGATGAAAATCATAATTTTTGTCAACTCTAACATTATAAACAATGTAAGAAGTGCAACTTTTTCTGTTGAAAAGGCAATATTATGTCCACTAGAAAAAGTAAAAATATGCATAAAAACTGCACGTTTAATTTTATAATCTTAGTGCTTAAAGTAGATCACAAATGTGAGATACAAAGCTGCAGCCAGTTTGTTCACAAGTGTCTTTCCCAGTCTGCCTTACAGCCCATTTTCTGGAGAGTGATCTGTCCATGGAGACACACATGTGGTCTGTACTGAGGACTCCTGGTCATCCATGTGGAAGAGGCAGGTGATGTGAGGACACCTGGTTGCTCTTAGAAGCATGATAAGAGCTGCACAGGACATTGTAATTTTTTTTTTTTTGATATATCAAGGATTCTTTTATTCTTTTTTTTTATTTTTGTATTTTTTTTCTTTTTTTTATTAATTACACTTTATTCATTTTGTATCTCCCCATAAGCCTCTCCCTCCTCCCCTGCCGATCCCACCCTCCCTCCCCTTTCTGCATGCATGTCACTCCCCAAGTCCACTGATAGGGGAGGTTCTCCTCTTCTTTCTGATCTTAGTCTATCAGTTCTCATCAAAAGTGGCTGCATTGTCCTCTACTGTGGCCTGGTAAGACTGCTCCCCCCTCAGGGGGAAGTGATCAACGAGCAGGCCAATCAGATTATGTCAGAGGCAGTCCCTCTTCCCATTACTATGTAACCCACTTGGACACTGAACTGCCATGGGCTACACCTGTGCAGGGGTTCCAGGTCATCTCCACGAATAGTCCTTGGTTGGAGTATGAGTCTCTGGGAAGTTCCCTGTGTTCAAATTATCTTGTTCTGTTGCTCTGCTTGTGGAGTTCCCGTCCCCTCCAGCTCTGACTATTTCCCACTTCTTACATAGAATTCCATTCACTCTGCCCATCAGTTGGCCATCAGGCTCAGCATCTGCTTTGACAGTCTATACTGCAGAAGCTTTCAGAGGCCCTCTGTGGCAGGTTTCAAGGTTGTTTCCTGTTTTCTTCTGGCTTTCAGAGGCCCTCTGTAGCAGGTTCCGAGGTTGTTTCTTATTTTCTTTTTCTTCTGATGTCCATCCTCTTTGCCTTTCAGGATGGGGATTGAACATTTTAGTTAGGGTCCTCTCTTTTCCTTAGCTTGTTTAGATGTACAGATTTTAGTGGGGTTATTCTATATTGTATGTTTATATGAGTGAGGATATACCATGCGTGTCTTTTTGCTTCTGGGACAAGTCACTCAGGATGATCCTTTCCAGGTCCCACCATTTACCTGCAAATTTCATGATTTCCTTATTTTTCATTGCTGAGTAATACTCCATTGTATAGATGTACCACAGTTTCTGCATCCATTCCTCAGTTGAGGGGCATCTGGGCTGTTTCCAGCTTCTGGCTATTACAAATAAAGCTGCTACAAACATGGTTGAACAAATGTCCTTTTTGTGTACTTGCGCCTCTTTTGGGTATATGCCTAGGAGTGGTATGGCTGGATCTTGAGGAAGCGCTATTCCTAGTTGTCTGAGAAAGCGCCAGATTGATTTCCAGAGTGGTTGTACAAGTTTACATTCCCACCAGCAGTAGAGAAGGGCTCCCCTTTCTCCACAACCTCTCCAGCATGTGTTGTCCCTTGAGTTTTTCATCTTGGC